GAGAGAGAGAGAGAAGGAAAATGAGAAGCAAGCTGCCTGGTTTGGGACTTGAACTGCAGTAGGTTATGTGGGAGTTCACTTCCCCAACCATCACATCACCTGCAGGCCCTATATTTGAATAATTTTAATTACAAGAGAAAATGCTTATAACATATAGTTTAGGGAAGAGAGCAAGATGTAAAATTATATAGTGTGATACTAATTTTTTCAAATAATTATTTTATTTTTAAATTTATCAGAGAGAGAGAGAAAGGGAAAGTGAGAAAACAAGCCACCAGGTTCAGGACTCAAACCATAGTCAGACAAGTTGGAGTCCAGCTCCTTAACCACCACACCTCTTACCAGCCCTAATGTGGTAACTAATTTTTAAAAAATAAACAAATGAAAAACTCATAGGGCCACCTGGCAGACTGACAGCAGCTTGTTCCCACATGGTCAACTGCATGGTTTGAGTCCCAGACCCAGTGGCTTGAGAAATACTTGAAGTATATGTACATATGTGCCCAAGCCCTGGAAGGATGGAGAGAAGGGATTGTGGCATGGCCCTCCCCCCATGGTAGGGTGTCTTCTCAGTTTTCCTTTCTCTCTTTCTCTTCTGTGAGTGCACACACCATTGACAAATTCAAAAAATGACTCAGATTGGGGCCCACATGGCTGATCACAGTTCAAATCCCAGACCTGGATGCTTAAAAATTACTCCAGGTGTGTATGTGTGTGTGTGTGTGTGTCTATGTGTGTGTACTCAAAATCCCGAGAAGAATGGAGAAAGAATTGTGGCATAGCTACTTCCCAGGGGAGTGGGATGGTTTCTGACTTTCTCCTCTCATTGTCTGTCTCTCTGGCCGGCACACACACCCTATGGTAAAAATCTAAAAAAAAAAGGAAGAAGAAAAAAGAAAATAGAAGAAATTACCTCAGGTAAGAGATGGGAAAATACATATGCCAAAATATTAACTGTGTTTGTCTATGGTCTCTCATTTGTACCTTGATGAGAGCAAGAGGCAATAATCAGATTGCTATTTTTTTTCTTATAATTATCTATTTAACTTTATTTATTCATTCATTTATTTTAATTTGGCCAGAGAGAGACACAGAGAAGGAAAGAGAGAGAGGGAAAGTGAGAAAGGAAGCCACCAGGTCCAGTACTGGAACCATGGTCGGCCATGTGGGAGCATCCAGCACCTTAACCACCACACCACCTGCTGGTTCCCAGATTATTTTATTATTCTGCTCTCACGAATGGACTTTAAAACTGTATTTAGATTGAAAGAAAAGTTTAGAGCCCTTTCTACACTGGCTAGTGTCTTTACAATCGTAGAATAAAACAGTTCTAGTAACATATTGAAGGTATTCATCCGCAACATGTTCATTCTATGATTACTGTAATGGTTAAAGCCTAATTCAGTCTGAGAAGGTCTGGAAAAGCTGCTCAGAAGTGCCACTGAACTGGTTTATCAAGGATCTGTAATGGAGGAGAGGAAGAACGAATTCTAAGTATAATGGATAGTGTATGAAAAGAGGAGGAAGCATTTAAGAGTTATCAAAGATTATACTCACTCATGATATTATATAGGAATTTTTTAGCTTCAAGTCTAGGCCATAGGGCGGGCACCACCATGCCCTAGCTTCAAGTCTAGGCAATGAGCTGTGAATGTTCTTTAAAGTTCTTTGTTCCAGAATTTTATGACAATGTGTTTAGAATTTTGACACACATGTCTGTCATGTGCAATTCTAAATATAAACAGTTGAACACGATCAGAAGAATTTGAAAAAATCTGCCAAAAATTCAGTCTCAAACAAGACTCATCATACAGGCATAAACATATGTGGTACTTACCTTGATTTATGCAACAATCCAAAAGTAAAGGTATCAACAGATTCTTTTGAATATCCAATGTGATTTTTTTCCTTGAAATTCCATTTTACTTAGTGCATTGCTAATAAGGTAGCATTTTTTATTCACAGAAGAAATATTTTATTGTAGACTTTTTAGAAAAGTATTTAAAAATTATTTTATACATGTATTTTTTTTCTTGTAAAAAAAAAATTGGCTATCGGAACCAGCAGTTAGCGTAATGGCTATGTCGCTGGACTCCCACGTAGTTGACCGCGGTTCGCGTCCCGGATCCAGTGGCTTAAAACTCATGCCGGGCGCTTGTGTGTGCGTGCCCAAGATCCCGAGAGGAGAATGGAGGAGAAGGGATTGCGGCGTGACCATTCCCCCTGGGGGGTGATTTCTCGCTTTCTGTCTCTATGTCTCTGTCTGGCGAGCGCACGCGCCCTATAGTGAAAATCTCTCTCTCTCAAAAAAAAAATTGGCTATGAGATCGTGTGTATTTGCTGAATGAGATGGGGAGGGAGAGAGAAAGTGAAAATACACCCCACAGAGGGAAAGTTATATTGCAATCCCTTCTCTCCATTTCTCTCACCTTTTGGGATTTGGGGTATGCATGTACATGCACCTGTTGTGTTTTTCAAGCCACTAGCTTTGGGACTCTAACCATGCAGTTGGCCATGTGGAAATATAATTCTTATACCAATACTTAAAGTTTTTTCAACAAAATTTAGTAATATCTGTAATCTTATCAGAGAAAACACTGATGTTCTGGGGTACCTCTTTCCAATCTGTTTTCTTAGATTTTTCTTAGATATAAACATCTGACCTGACGCAGTCAAAAGACCATACTAATTATTACAATTTCATTGATTAAGCAAAATACATTGAGCTGGTCTTATAGCTTAGTGATTAAGGAAGCAGGATCCCATAGGACTGACAGCAGTTAGAATACCAGCCCTCATTGCATGAAAAACATACTGGGAATACATGTGTGCATGTTCAAAATCCCAACAGGATGAAGAAATGGAAAAGAGATTGAGGTGTGACCACACCTGTGGAGGAATGCTTTCTCCCTCCCTCTCTCTCTCACAGAGACCCTCTGGAGATTCAAAAAAAAAAAAAAGTGTTAAAATATACCCAAAACAATCACCATGAAAATGCAAATCAAAATCACAATGAGCTATCATCTTGTTCCAGCTAGAATGTCTTTCACCAGGGCTGGCCTGGTAGCACAGTGGTTAAGTCCCGTGCACATGGAGCTAAGTTCTTCAGGGCTGACCATGATTCACTTCCTGGCCTAGGCAGCTTGAAAAACACACCACACACATGTGTATGTGCTCAAAATTTTGATGGGAAGAAGATATGGAAGAAAAGAAATTGTGGTATGCCATGCCCCAGAGTGGGGGATTTCTCTGGCAATTAAAAAAAATGAATGGTATTTATCAAAAAGTAAAAAAAATAGGGACCAGCAGATGGCATAATGGTTACGTCGCTGGACTCCCACATAGTTGATCGCGGTTCTAGTACCAGACCCGGTGGCTTAAAACTCATGTTGGGTGTGTGCGTGTAGGTCCAAAATCCTGAGAGGAGAATGGAGGAGAAGGATTGTGATGTGGCCATCCCCCTGAGGGGTGATTTCTCATTTTCTGTCTCTTTGTGTCTCCAGAGAACACAAGCACCCTATAGCAGAAATCTGTCTTAAAAAAATAATAAAGTAAAAAAATAACAAATGCTGGTAGGAATGTGTAGAATGAGAAACTCTTTTACACTGTTGGTGGGAATGTAAATTAGTGCAGCCATTATAGAAAATAGCATGGAGGTTCCTCAAAAACCTAAAAATAGAATTGCCATATGATTCAGGAATCCCACTAATAGGCATATATCCAAAGAAAGTAGTATGTCATAGAGATATCTACACTCCAATGTGTATTAGAGCACTGTTCACAATAGCCAAGATCTGGAATCGACCTAAGTGTCAACGAAGGAACAGATGAAGAAAATACAGTGTGTGTGTGTGTGTGTGTGTGCACTGTGTGTGTAAGCACTGTGTGCACACTGTGTACACACACACACAAATAGGATACTATTCATGGTTATGAAGAATGAAATTCTCTAATTTAAGGCAAGATGGATGTGTCTTCAGAACATTAAGAGCAACCACCCAGGCACAGACAGAAAAAATCAAATGTTCTCACTCATATAGGGGAATCAAGAAAGTTTACTTCATAGAAATTGAGAATAGAATAGAGGCTGGGAAAAATGGGAGGAGAGAGGTGTTGGTTAACAGATACAAAATTACAGTTAGAAAAGAGGATTAAGTTTTCCGGTTCTACAGTATAACAAAGTTACCTACAATTTTTAGTGACTTAACTATGTGTTTCAAGACAACTAGCAGAGAGGATTTTGGGTGTTCCCAGCACAGGTAATGATAAATGTTTGAGATGATAGATATGCTAATTACCTTGCAGTAATCATTATGCTTTGTATTTATATACTGAAAAATCCCACTGTACCCCATAAATAAGTCCAATTATTGTGTCAATTGCAAACTTTAAAAAAAAAAAACATACTTGAAACAAATATGTAAAATAAATTACAAAATTTTTAAAAATAATTATTTTATTTAACTTTATTTATTTCTAATTTGATGAGAGAAGGTCAGAGCAAGAGGGAGAGAGAGAGAAAGTGAGAAAGCAAGCCACCAGTCCAGGATTCGAACTGTGGCCGGCCATGTGGGAGGCCAGTGCCCTTAACCACCATGCCCCTGCTGCCCCCCAACCCAAATTCCAAAATTCTAACAGTAATTATCTTGGGAAAGACTGGAGAGGGCCAGGGTTGTTGAGGGAGTAGTAGAGGCAAAAAAGTTTTAGCTTTCTCTCTAATGTTCAAATTTCTGAAGAAGAATATATTCGGTGTATTTAAACTTAACTAAAAAAAAAGAAAAAATCCAAAATGAAAGTTGCCACATTTATAAAATAAATTTTGAAGGGGAAAGTTATGATGAATAGGAGAGAATTAATACTTAGTACTGGCAGGGAAAATAATTTCAGAAGCCTTGACCTGCCACTCTCTCACTCCTTCTACAATAATATCTGACTCAATTTCAAAACATTACATTGCTTCACTGATTGAGAAATATTGAAATCATCACTGTCCTCAGAGATTCAGGTGGTCAAACTGGTTTTTTATTTTTTATTCCACTCTAGAAATACGTTTCTGATAATCAACTTTCAGTGACTCTGAAAGGAAACATTGAATGAGACAACTTAACACACACATATATAACACATATAGTTTTTAAATATTTAGGACCACTTGGAGTTATAGCAACAGATGCTCTATACGATTAAATAAACCTAAGTATGTTTTCTTATTTATTTATTTACTAATAAATGATAGACAGCAGACACGCACATGTGAGAGTGAGGAAATGAGAATGAAAGAAAGAGCTGAACAGGGGTTCCCAACCCCTGGACTGCTGATTGGTGCTGGTCTGCTAGGCTGCACAGGGAGGGTGGGCAGCACGCCACTGAACAAGGCTTGGTCTGTGTTTGCAGCCACTCCCCATTGCCTCCACTGCTGCCTGGGCTCTGCCTTCTGTTAAGACAGTGGCAGTATTGGATGTTCATGATCGCACAAACCCTATGGTCGTGTAGTTGTTTCTTTGTATACTGCAACATGGAAGTGGTGGAAATGGGGTACACGGTAGATGTAGTGTGCTTGGATCATCCCGGGACCAACCCATCTTCCCCATAACCCAATGTCTGTGGAGGGACTGTCCTCCATGAGGCTAGTCCCTGGTGCCAGGAATGTTGGGGACTGCTGCTTTACAGGATCTGGTCATGCCATGATGCCCTTCCTCTGATCCTTTAGTCCATTGGATCTTGGGCACTTGTGCATGTGGCTGGCGTGTTTTAGGGTGACTGGACTGGTGTTTTAAACCACGATCACCATGTGGGATCTGGCTTTTCTTAAGTAGTACATTATCACTGTGCCAAGGAGTTAGACCTGTTTTCACTTCTATAGCATGCACAATTCACCTGGGATTTGGTGTCTAGTAGAGTTCATTCACTATGATGGTACTGAGAATAAAAGACCAAATATCAGGCAGATCAGATGACTGGGCCTCAGCATGCCCACAGTGCATAACAGGAAGTAGCTGTAGGTATTGTCAGCATGTGATATTTCATATGTTTCTTCTCTACACTAGACCTTTATCCAGTTGGATGGAGTGGGCATTTCTGCAGCCAGCATCCTATGTATGAAACAGCTAGAAACAAGAAAGAGATATATGAGGAATACAGAACTAATACACAGAAAAGCTAAGAACAGAATGGCCTGATATGCCCAAATTTTGCTTTTCTGGTGGCCCCATGTAAAGCCATTATGCTAACTGCTGGTTCCCAAAGTCCCATGTTTTTGAAGCTTTTATAAGGCATAGCACTTTTTAGGTGTGTGTGTGTGTGTGTGTGTGTGTATACATACATATATGTGTTGCATACATATGTATACATGTACACACATATATGTATGTATACACTGAAATATATGTATTTCAGTTGCTACAGGGTGTGAGTGCTCACCGGGGTGGAGTGGGGAGAGAGAAGAAAATGAGAAATTACCCCCCCAGGGGGGAGGGCCATGCAGCAATCCTTTTTCCTTCATTCTTCTCTAGGGATTTTGGTATGTACACACAAGTGCTTGGTGTGTTTTTGAGGCTTGGTGTGTCTAGGACTCAAACCACTCAGTCAGCTATTTGGGTTCAGATGCTTTAACCACCATACCACCAGTGTGTCCCACCTTAGAATATTCTTATTCAGTGGTTCTCCACCTGGTTAAACTCTCCCAGAAAGCTTTCTTTTTTCTTTCTTTTAAAAGAATTATTTATTCAATTTTATTCATTCATTCATTTATTTATTTTTAATTTGACCAGATAGAGACACAGAGAGAGATAAAAAGTGAGAATGCAAGTAACTAGGTTCGGGACTTGTACCATGGTTAGCCATGTGGGAGTGTCCAGCGCCTCAACCACCATGCCAGCTGCTGACCCCCCAGAAAGCTTTCTAAAACAACCCATTTATGGGCCTCACTTTCAGACATGCTGAGTTAACTGGTCTAGAAAAGAGCCTTGGTAACAGTGTTTTTAAAACTCCTTAAGTGATTCTGATGTATAGACAGAGCTTTAAAGCCTCAACACTCAGGCAATATCTGAGATCTGATATGGGGCATGAAGCTCAGACACAAATTCTTAGAAAAACATGCCCTGTTGCTTCTGTGCATATCCAAAGTTCAAAGTTAGAAGTTACAACCCACGGATTTGATTAATTCAGGATTAAGAATTAACAGGGTTTTGTTTTCCTTCCTGAACTAAGTCTGTTCTAGATCATCACTACAGTAGGTCACTAATCAAGAACGCTAAGCTTGGGAACCAGCAGTTAGCGTAATGGCTGTGTCGCTGGACTCCCACGTAGTCGACCGCGGTTCGTGTTCCGGAACCGGTGGCTTAAAACTCACGCCGGGCGCATGTGCGTGTGTGCCCAAGATCCCGAGAGGAGAATGGAGAAGGGATTGCGGTGTGACCATCCCCCCCCTGGGGGGTGATTTCTCGCTATCTGTCTCTATGTCTCTCTCTGTCTGTCTGGCGAGCGCACGCGCCCTACAGTGAAAATCTCTCCAAAAAAAAAAAGAACGCTAAGCTTTACCATTCTAGTAATGGCTTATGCACGGATGCTTTCCCCAATTTTTGATGAATGTAAAACAACCAAGGTACAGAAATCACAAGAAATATTTTAAAATACTCTTAGTAAAATAATCCATACTATGTCAAAACTTCTTGAACACACAGTAAATCATAGTGAAAGACAAAACTGAAAAGCAGAATTCACTTTGGTTGAGAAGAATATAATGCACATAATGGGAAATCCCAGCATTTTCCAATGACTCACAGGACAGTAACTTTTAAAAATTTTAATAATTTTCCAGTGACTCTTTAACAGTTCAGGATGCCAATGCTAAATCAGATTCCTATAAAGTACCTATTTCAAAGAAAGAAAATACATGAAAAACATTTACTTCAAGATAGTTTCTGAGGCTGACCCTGTGGTTAAAGGAGCTGAATCCTGCATGGTTGACCATGCTGTTCGATTCCTGACCCCGGCACACCTGATGTGTGTGCATGCACAAGTGCTGAAATTCTGACAAGATGACGAAATGGAGGAGAAGGGATTGCAGTGTGGCCACACCCCATGGGGGCTGTTTTTTTACCCCCTCTCCCTCTTTCTCTCTGTCTTTGGTAACAGTGTTTTTAAAACTCCTTAAGTGATTCTGATGTATAGACAGAGCTTTAAAGCCTCAACACTCAGGCAATATCTGAGATCTGATATGGGGCATGAAGCTCAGACACAAATTCTTAGAAAAACATGCCCTGTTGCTTCTGTGCATATCCAAAGTTCAAAGTTAGAAGTTACAACCCACGGATTTGATTAATTCAGGATTAAGAATTAACAGGGTTTTGTTTTCCTTCCTGAACTAAGTCTGTTCTAGATCATCACTACAGTAGGTCACTAATCAAGAACGCTAAGCTTGGGAACCAGCAGTTAGCGTAATGGCTGTGTCGCTGGACTCCCACGTAGTCGACCGCGGTTCGTGTTCCGGAACCGGTGGCTTAAAACTCACGCCGGGCGCATGTGCGTGTGTGCCCAAGATCCCGAGAGGAGAATGGAGAAGGGATTGCGGTGTGACCATCCCCCCCCTGGGGGGTGATTTCTCGCTATCTGTCTCTATGTCTCTCTCTGTCTGTCTGGCGAGCGCACGCGCCCTACAGTGAAAATCTCTCCAAAAAAAAAAAGAACGCTAAGCTTTACCATTCTAGTAATGGCTTATGCACGGATGCTTTCCCCAATTTTTGATGAATGTAAAACAACCAAGGTACAGAAATCACAAGAAATATTTTAAAATACTCTTAGTAAAATAATCCATACTATGTCAAAACTTCTTGAACACACAGTAAATCATAGTGAAAGACAAAACTGAAAAGCAGAATTCACTTTGGTTGAGAAGAATATAATGCACATAATGGGAAATCCCAGCATTTTCCAATGACTCACAGGACAGTAACTTTTAAAAATTTTAATAATTTTCCAGTGACTCTTTAACAGTTCAGGATGCCAATGCTAAATCAGATTCCTATAAAGTACCTATTTCAAAGAAAGAAAATACATGAAAAACATTTACTTCAAGATAGTTTCTGAGGCTGACCCTGTGGTTAAAGGAGCTGAATCCTGCATGGTTGACCATGCTGTTCGATTCCTGACCCCGGCACACCTGATGTGTGTGCATGCACAAGTGCTGAAATTCTGACAAGATGACGAAATGGAGGAGAAGGGATTGCAGTGTGGCCACACCCCATGGGGGCTGTTTTTTTACCCCCTCTCCCTCTTTCTCTCTGTCTTTCTCTGGTAAGTGCATATACCCTCTGGCAAAACAGAGGGAAAAAAGTTTCTGTTCAGGGAGCAATTGAAATACACAGTAAGTTGCATGTTTTATAGATATGTTTATTTTGCTTTTTGGTAAAAATAATTTTTTCATGCTTTCTAATAGTCATAGATTAAAGATATCTACTTTTCTTCAACACTAACCCCAGGGAAGGAAGAACAAATGTGGCAGGGGCCACAGAACTCACTAAGGAACCATCTTAACACTTTTTATATTGTGAATGGCAAGATAACGGGAGAAATCCAGCATATTACACTTATTTAGGCTTCTACACATATCAGCTTAAAACCATTTAAAAAAATTAAACATTTGAGCGACGGACACAGTGTCATTTCTCTGTCTCAGCTGAGGATCATCTTAAAATATCATCACTTTTAGTTTCTGTACTGGTTTAAACAAACAAAACAAAAGTTGGCATGGACTAAGGAAGAACTTTCAGTTTCATATACAGCAATATGTAGGGGCAACATAGCTTTACTGTTTAAGAACCTCTATTCAGTAGAAGGAAAATATGCATAAATTCTATGAACTCTTCTACTAGAAAGATGTAAGCTGTCACAAGGGAGCTGATAAAATGAAAATGTGAAATTCGGTCCCAACAGAATATGGGAGGAGCTGGCATTTCTGCTTTACCATTAGGATTACTATTCTTAGTATGAAAATTGGAATTGCAAGTTTAGCTAGACTCACCAATTCAATCTGTGAAAATGAAATAAAGTTCACTCTCTGGGCCAAAAGCCACAAGCAGCGGTTGGAAGCAAGAGGGCTACAAGAACAGAAGAAAAGAGATTCACCGCGTTGTTATCCAGAATGGGCTTCCCTGCTATGTACGTGGCCTCCTCCGTTGGGCTGTTGACCACCATGCCAGTGCTTTCATCCAAACCTGGAGGAGAAATGAAGCAAGTGAGATGGAAAACCTCAGTGACTTTATTTATAAAAAGAATAAATTAACTTTTTTTCTGCAAAAGAGACATTCTTTGAAGGACAATGACCTGTAAAATGACTTTAGTGGATAATTTATATGATAAGAGATATGGAACCCATGATTATGAATGGTCTCTTTGAATAAATGGGTTTCAGCATACCTCAAAAATATTCTCTCGATCTCTCTGAAATTCAGATGTGGGAGGAAGAATACAAAAAGCAGATAGGTATGACACCGGCAGGCTGAGCCTGCTTCTCCATGATTGCCCTCCAAGACCAACCAGAGTAGAAATCACGTCTGTGATCTCAGCACGAGATACACAAGGCCCAATATGGTGTGGGCACAAAGAAGTCACACAAAGATCTACTGAATAATCTCCCCTACTGCTTATATTTTTTTAAAAATCCATTCATAGAGCCCAAGTCAGAATAAATTCCGAGTTTTGTTTTTTTTTTTAAAGATTTTATTTAACTTTATTTATTTTCATTTGACCAGAAACAGAGAGAGAGAAAGTGAGAAAGCAAGCCACCAGGTCCAGGACTCAAACCAGGGTCAGCCATGTGGGAGTCCAGCACCCTTAGTCACCATACCACCTGCCAGCCCCAAATTCCAAGTTCTTTAAAAAACACATGTACCAGGGCTGGCAGGTGGTATAAAGGTTACAGTGCTAGATCCCACAAGGCTGACTATGCAGTTCTAAGTCATGGACCTGGAAGCTTGAGAATCAGGCTGGTGTGTATGCATGCTCAAGATTCCAAGAGGAGAATAGAGGAGAAGGGCCTGCAGTGTGGCCATCTGCACTGGGTGGCAATTTCTCACTCCCCTGCCCCACCCCTTTGTCTCTGGTGACCGCACGCACCCTGTAGCAAACAAAATAAACGACATGTACTCTTCGTGTATGCATAGGGTTAATGACCTTTTAGCGTGCAACAAAATCAGATCACTTCCTCCTTAGCATCTAAGTGAAGCTAACATTCTGACTGGTGGGGAGAGAAGCAAAAGGGCAAGCAGATTACCTTGGGGCATGAAGAGCACTGAGAAGACTGTACTCAGGGGAACTTGTCCAGCTTCCCAGCCTCTATGCAATGTCAGTGGAAGGCAAAAACATGGTAATGGTATAAAGTAAATATACCCCTAACAATATGTCAGTACGCTGATAGGACAGGCTGGCGTCAGAAGCCAAACATGGGACACACTAAAGAAAACCAACTCCCTCATGTCTCTTGAGAGTCTAAAAACTCAGTGGTGAAGACAAGCACTGTATCACAGCAGGAGAGCAGGTCCTATGTGTGTGGTCAGATCAGTATAATTCTCTCTCAGATGGACTTGGAAAAACCAACCAAAGGAGGTGCACTGTCATGATCTAATCCCAAATGTCCTGCTTTCCTTGAATTAGGTGATGGCCACAAGGAAAAAGCAACTATTTCCTGCATTACTATATCCTCCCTGCACAGCTCTCATCATTGCTCCACACTGTTAATTCTCTTTCAATTAATCTAACACAAAAAAATGAA